TTGACTGATTGGTAAACTCTTTTTAAGAGGGGTAGGATGAAAACTTGAGGCCAACATCAAAGTGTTTCTGTCCGTCTCCTTCCTGTAAAGTGATGTTATTATGGTGCCATTGGATTTAAGCACTACCATATCTAAGAAACTGACTTGTACAGTACTATACTGTGGAGTAAAGATCAAACTTGGTATCCAGCTATTAAGTAATTTGACAAAAGTACCATTGAAGACACAAAACACATCATCAATATATCTGAGCCATTTTAGAATTTTATGAGCAAATGGATTTTTTTCATTGTTGAATACAAATTTATTTTCAAAAAAACCAACAAACAAATTGGCGTAGTTAGGGGCACAAATGGTGCCCATGCTTGTCCCAGATATTTGTAGATAGAATGTCTTTTCAAAACGGAAATAGTTATATTTCATGACAAACTCAGTAAAGTCCAAGATGATTTGGTCAGGAGGCCTTGTACTGCTGCTGTTCTGCTGTAGATAGTAATTTATGGCCTCTAAACCCCCTTCATGGGGAATGTTGGTATAGAGGCTAGTAATGTCCAATGTCAGCAATAAGGCATTTACAGGTATATCTTTAAGGTCGGAGCACTTTTCTAGAAAGTCTGTAGAATCTCTTATATAGGCAGGAAGGTTGTGGACTAATGGTTTTATAAAGTGGTCCACATAAGTTGAAAGAGGAGACCATAATGAGTCATTCTGTGCTACAATGGGCCGCCCAGGTGGATTGGTCAAGGATTTATGTATTTTAGGGAGCGAATATATAACTGGGCAGATGGGATGTTTATTGTAGAGAAAATCAGATACTTGTTCAGTAATCCATTTCTGAGACTTTGCTAGTTGGAGGTATGCAAATAGTTGTTTCTGAAAGGGCACCGTGGGGTCATGCTCAAGTTTTTTATAGACACGGGCATCCAACAGCTGAGATAAAATCTCCTGTTTGTATTTGTTAACGTCTTGGATGCAGATAGCGCCCCCTTTGTCCGCTGGTTTAATCACAATGTCTTTATCATTCATTAATTCTTTTAGGGCTGTTTTCTCGTCTTTTGACAAATTAGAATATGTACGTGTGTGGGATTCATAAACGCCCTTTTCAATGTCCTGTTCAACCATTCTACAAAAAGTATTGATAGAAGCATTCGTTGTATTAGGACAAAAAACACTTTTGGCTTTAAATACAGTTTGTGTGGTCGGCTGTGAAGTGGGTGGACCAGATGTAGAGAAAAAATGACGTAATTTAATTTGTCTAAAACATTTAAATAAGTCCACTTTTAGGCCGAATGCATTCACAGGACTGTAGGGAACGAAAGATAAGCCCTTAGAAAGAAGTGACTTCTGTTGCTCCGACAGTGACTTGGATGATATGTTGATTACCGTGTCTGCTGGCGGCTGCGCGTCCACGGTTGCTCAGTTTTACCAAATTGGAGACTGTGGCGCTAAAAAACAAACTAATTAAGATAAAATGTTTCATCACTTTTGAAAACAAAAGGTTTCTCATCCATAATCCGTACTTCAGTTAGCAGGTTTTCCAATGTTTCATCTTTATTTCAGTACACCCATGATGGGTGAGCAACCTTTCTTTTTTTTGACTAAAACCTGTACGACTGACGGATAACACAAACATAACTTGAGTTTTTCTGCATTGGTTTTATATACAGTAGTGGTAAATGTTGCAGTGTAGAGGTGCTCATGGTGAAAGCCCACTTGGACACAGTTGCTGCCGCTGTATGAATGAAGTAGGACAAGGTTGTTCCTGTCTGAACAGACTGGGGCACACTAGTTACTGTAAGAGAGTGAAAAAATAGATTTTTTTTCTTTTCAGCTGCATACATTTAATTTGTTTGTCCTTTTAAGTGAATGACTGCAAGTTTAAAAGGTGGAGAGAGAGAGGATATATTTTTACCTTTTTATGTAGAGCAAAAGCGGGAATGATGATGCGTTTAATTGCGCTGCAGAAGTTAAATTACTTTTGCATGACATGCAGTTGAGCAAAAAGTAAACAAAGCAAAACCAAATGCTCAAAGTAAACAAGATGCACTTGTTTACATTTTCCAAATAAGCGGATCAATGTTTGCCGGTTTGTTTATGATTCCAGTAGCGTTCCACATCGCGGTAGCATGTTAAGGCAACGTTGGCATCACAAATGCATCCAATACTGCGCCTTGTATGGTTACTGTGCTTTGGGGAGAACCCAAATTCTGTCTACATTTTGGTATAGACCAGTGGTTCTCAAACTTTTCACACCAAGTACCCCCTCAGAAAATACTTGCCTCTCCAAGTACCACCACAAATGACCACACCACACAGTAGCGTAGTAAGCCGAAGTATTCATCAATAACAAGGCAGAGGTTTCATTCCTAAAGAAGTATATTTAATGTAATATTTTACACAGTTTCAACAGTAAGACTGCGCTTAAATATAGGAAAAAAAAATGTTTTAAATGTTTCATTCATTACAAACTGCAAAGCCTCACTGTGAGTGATATTCTGGAGTGGGATCTTTGTCCACAGAAGGTTTGGACACTGGTGCACTTTAGTTTCTAAGGCTTGTTCTGCTGCCCTCTTACATCTGTCGTTTACTCACAGAGACATGTTCTCATGGTTTGGATCAAATGATCGTTTGTTGCTCTCTGTCCTTTTGCACAGAACTGGGAAAAAAAACTGCTCCTTCTACATGGAACGTGTTGCAAAAAGACTAGAAATGATCTGATCTTATTTCCTTGAATGCTTTTAGATCCAGATTGAGACATCTTCAGTGAAATGTAACTGTTTTTATAATCCGTATTTTTATGAAATTGTGTGTTACTGTTGTATAATCTGTATGTGACTATTTTATCATCTGTATGTGACTGTTTTATCATCTGTATGTGACTGTTTTATCATCTGTAATTTTATGTAATTTTTGTACACGAAAAAGAGGTTCTCATTGACTGCCAGCCATTTTTTGATGACTTCACTGATTTTTAAGACTCACAGAATATTGTGTGCTATGAAAAATATGAAACCAGAGTCTGAAAGACAGGACTGTCTACTTTCAGCAGCAAAAAGAAGTTTGTTCTTAGTTTGTTTCGTTCTCCTGTGATCTCCAGTCGAAAAGAGGAGAGTGTGACAAAAAGCACCAGTCTTAGACAAAAAAAATTAGAAAATGAGGTTTTTGTGAAAACAGACGAACTGCAGAGAAAAGTGATTGTAAAACTATTTAGTTTAACTTTAGCATCTCCTCAAACATGTCCAGGATCTTAAGATAAGATAAGATTGCTTTATTTATCTCACAGAGGAGAAATTTACATGTCACATTTGGCATGGATAGAGACACTCAGATTGTGCAAAAGGAGGAAATGTGCAAACATGTTACATGCAGGATATATGTACAATAAAGTGACAATAATTATGTACAACAAAAGTGTCAATTGGAAACAGTGTCAATAGTAGTGCAGGTTTTCACACAGTGATCATTTAAAGTGACTTATTGTACAGTCTGACAGCGGTGGGGATAAAGGCCCTGCGGTAGCGCTCCTTCCTACACTGAGGGTGCCTCAGTCTTCCACTGAAGGAGCTCCTCAGCTCCTCTACAGTCCTGTGCAGTGGGTGGGAGGTGTTGTCCATGATGGAGGTGGCTTTGGCTAGCACCCTCCTGTCCCTCACCTCCTCCACAGAGTCCAGGGAGCAGCCCAGAGTGGAGCTGGCCCTCCTGACCAGCTTGTTCAGTCTGTTTCTGTCCCGCTCTGTGCTGCCCGGTGTTACATGTTAGAAAACAGCAACACGTTTTGAGAAAGTGTTTTTAATGTAAAATAATAAGTTTTATGGCACACACACATCCACAAAGTGTTGCTCAAAAATTTCAAAATGTACTCATCCAAAAAATGTCAAAATGTACATATTGAAAGTAGAGCCCATGACAAACTATGCCAGATAGAATGGCCAGTATTCATCCATTAGGTGGCGCTATTTTTATGTCAATAAGAGTAAATCAAAGAATAACAAAATTACAATGATAAACACATGACAATAAATCAAAGTGAATACTTATACTTATAGTATAAGTGCAACAGAATACTGCTGTGTGTCTTTGTGTATTTGGGCGTGCATGTATGTGCGTTTATGCACGCGTTTGTGTGTTTTTATGTGGTTACATCAACAGAGCGTCTGTTTAGTCCGGCGTGCGCTGTGACCATATCTGGACTTTGCTGCTGGCTCCTGGTGTGGACTCAGTGATAATTTTAGCAATAGTCCACTTTTCTGTGGCTTTTTTGAGGTGCTCCACTGGTCTGCTGTCCTGACCCTCCACATGGTCTGCTGCTAGGACCCTCCACATGGTCTCTGTCAGCTCTGGAGACACATTTACTGCTCAAACTGCCTCCAAATGTAGCCTGACCCTGACTATATTACTCCATGTCTGCTTCACCTCTGTCTCTCCTGCTCAGAGTGCTCAGAGTGATCTTTGACCAAACCAGGGAGTTCTGCTGCCACCTGCTGGCTTAATAAAATACTGTCTACAGCCAAACCCCAGACTGTATGATACAGGGGACACAGACTGACAGGAAAAGATTGAAAAACAATGTTGTCCTCAAATGACATCCATGGCTGTCAATGAGTTAATCTCAATGGGACTTTCCTGGTAAAATTAAAAAAAAAAAAAAAATGTGTTTTTTTTTACAGATTTTTTTTTTTTTTTCATAGATTCTTTGGCGTACCCCTAGAGGGCGCCCGCGTACCACTAGGGGTACGCGTACCCCAGTTTGAGAAACCCTGGTATAGACAGTTTCTGTCAGTTTTTTTGTAGCCTAGGTCACTTTACTGCACTGTTAAATGTTTATTGTATGCACCTTGTGCACTTTTATATAGTAATAATTTTAAGAAATGTTATGTAGATTTTTATTTTATGCTTGCTTTTTTCTTACTTTTGAAAAATAATTGTGATTTTGTGTTCAAAACATGTATATTATTGTGTCAAAATGGGTTGGAAGTTGACTTGAATCTCCCTCTCTTCAGCCAAACCGCAGAACGCCGCCTCCACTGTGACGGTTGAAGCCGGAGCCAAGAAGGTGGTGGTGGCCCGCTGTGAGTCCCTGAACGGCCGGCCGGCAGCTAAGATCACCTGGGTGACCACGGCTAACGGCAACGCCACCACGGTGTCCACGCCAGCAGCCGACAACACTGTGTCCATCACAAGTGAATACGAAATGATACCCACTGCAAAGGACAACGGGAGGGACATCAGCTGTGTGGTGGAGCACCGAACGCAGACCAAACCAGAGAGCTTCCCCTTGAAACTGGCTGTGCAATGTAAGTCTGGAGATGGTTTTAAAGAAAAGTCTGCCAAATATTAAGTGGTAAATGCTTGACGCAAGTAATTTTTATCCTAAATGATCAAGATTGAAAATTGGACAAGCAAACATGTATGGTAAAGGAACGAGGAAATCAGAGGACGACTCGTCCCTGTTCAGTGCCTTGGTTTTCCTTCTTCCTCTTTTGTTATCAGTGCTGATCCTGATGAGCACTTCATCTCTCCTGAACCTAAGAAAACATGTTTGTCAAGGGCAGTAGCAGTTTTATTCCCTTTCTAAGTGAGAATTGACTTAAAGGAATTTCTAAATGCTTTTACTACTAAAATCAAGGAACATTTAATTCCTCTCTGTTTTTGCAATAAATAGAACTACGTGATAATATTGTTCTAATACAACTTTAAAAGCTTTCATCCGTTCTGTAATTGTTTTCCCTTTTCATTTAACTACAAAACGTACATTCCTTAATGTAAATTCCACCACAAATGTTCTTGGTGTGTCTAGTAATGAATGTTATTTCATGCGCTGGTGCAACTATTGAATTATACATTTCAAATGTATTCAGTAAAATTGCCATCATAATGTATATAATACAAACTTTTTTTCAGCCATTAAAAACTCTAATATAGTTGGCGTTTAACAAAAGAGACACAGACGATAAACACGGCTTTTTTATTCTTCTGATGGAGAAGCTATGATGTAGTTATTACATTTTAAAACATAAATGAGACAATAAAAATGCTGCTATATGTCATTTCAGACTTTACACAGGTGTTTAATGGTCCCACAGGTTTGTCCCAATGCTTTTCAAGTCTCTGTTATTGGCCATTACCTTTTCCATCCATCTATTGTTGGAAATTAAAGTGTATAACCAAAAGATAGTGATGCTATAAACTTATCCTCTCTTAGATGCACCACAAGTGGAAATAAAAGGCTACGACAACAACTGGTACATGGGCCGCACCCGTGACGTGACCCTGACCTGCAACGCCGACGGAAACCCACTTCCCACTACAGTCATGTGGAAAGCGTAAGTAGCACATGCAGGATCGAAATCAAACTGTATTTGTAATGTATGAACCAGTTTTGGTTCAGTATTGTCTGTAGTTAGTATTGTCCAAGTGCTCCAGCTGTTGCTGGTGGGTTATTTTTCTATTTGAGAAAATAAAATCAGGCTCCAAAGATTAAAGTATATTAATCCTATATATTGTTGCATTTGTTTTTGTCAACTAACAAAAACAACAGTTTTATGCATAAGACAGAGTTTAGAAAACAAAAGCAGTCACGCCCACTGCTGAACACTTACTTACTAATCAGGCCCATCAGTATTCACAACTATCTCTAGCCCAAACGTTGTCCACTGCTTGTGTAAGTAAAACTTGTTTCATAATACCGGGTACATTTGGTTCTTACAAAAAATCAGACCACAACTTTCTACCTTGAGATGTATCATCTTATTTTGATGGGTCCTTATGAGCCCATACAAGCCCATGACGCTTTGGACTGATTGACAGGGTGAGGATTAGGAGTGTGACAATATATCGATAAGGTGATGTATCGTGATACTTTCTCACGTGATCGATTATCAATATGCTTTTGCTAAGGCCCCGACTCCACCGGGCGCGTTAAACGGACGACGGATCCGTCCAAACATGTCCGTTTCATCTCCGTCTCCGTTATCTCCATGAGGGTGAATGGAAGTGGCTCCACTGCCTCCGCATGCGTCCGTCCAACGCACGTCGGACGTATTCTGTCAACGGAGGGTGCAACGGACGCGGACGGACGAAATAGAAACAATCCTATTTGTTCCGTCCGTCGACGCGTGTCGGGTCCGTTTTCCATTGAAAATACAATGGAATAATATATTTACAACATTGTTAAACATGTATTGATATATGCTGTAGTCCTTGGTTAGAAATATTTGTTAATGACAATGATTATTAACAAACCTGTGTAATGTTTTTCATGTATTAATTTAAATAATTGTTTCCTGATCGTAAATCTACCATTTATTTTTTGCGTAATGTTAATACGCTAATCTTTACATACACCTCGCTCTTTTTTCTCTCGCTCTGTCCCGTCTACCTGCAAGGCGCTCTCTCCTCACCGCCGCGCGCTCCCACACACACACACACACACTCACACTCACACACACACACACACACACACACACACACACAGAGCTGCACTTATGAGTGACAGATCTCACATCACTGGATATGTTGGAGTTCTTTTCTCTTTTCTCTCTCCCCTTTTTCCAATTGCTTTCAATAAGTTTTGCCTCATCCATCGCGACGTCCTCAATGCTTCAATATGCAGTGCTTTGCATTGATCATAGCCACAGCTCATACACATCACACACCGCTTCTTCTATTTAAAACTATAGCTCTTACATTACACATTCTACAATTTCTGTAGAATGTTCATATGGATTTTATTGTACGTGAGACAGATTAAGTAAGATTTTTACTAAAATGTGCAGGTTGTTCACTTTAATGTTACACATGAAACTTTATCTATTTATCTTGAAATAAAGTTTTTTTTTTCATTTAATTTATGCCATAAATATAATAAAAATATCGTAGGTATATTTTTGACCAATATCGATAATTGCATCGTCATATTGTGAGGTAATCGTTATCGTGAGCTTTGCATCACACAACACCCCTAGTGAGGATGGTGCTCTTTTTTTCAGTTTTCTGACTGAAAATGATTTAAAGATGTGACGGAGGTAAAGAAAATACATACATGCATGTGAAAGCTACAGATGGAAACAAATTGTTTTGAGATCGAGGAACCAGTTAAATTATGTAATGCAGTTGTTGTGGTTTGAAAGTTTGGTTCGTCATCCTCAAACAGATAAGAGGTAGATTCCTGAAACGTAAAAGAGATGGAGGACTACTAAAACCAAAACATAAATACATTCTTCTACTTTGGCACCTAAAGGCAATAACAAGCCCTAAGTGGATCACAAATAACCTCTTCTCATCACAACGCCTTATCAAGATTTAAGCTAATGTTATCAAAGACTGGAGCCCCCCTCCTGTCTGACCTCTGCGCTCCTCCTGTATCTCTGAATCTGCCTTTTCCTCGTTCACTTCCTCACCCTGCGCTCCTCCTTCCTCACAGAGCTGCAATCAGCGCTTTTATTATTGCCACTACAGCGTCTGCACTCTGATTATGGAGATAGGGGCATAATTTCTCATAATGGACTCTGTGACTTGAGATTTAACCCTCGCATAATGAGAAACACAATTCGACTCCCCACGCTCTATTTTTCCTGCATTATCGCCTATTAACATAACTGTGACAAAATTCTGAAAAATGAAGAGGCATACTTTTAAATTGGTGGAGATGAGTTTTGGGATCTGCTTGTTTTTGAAGTCCCCCATGCACACTTTCTCTCAGTGATAAAAGGCTGTCCTTTTGTAAACCATGGGGACGCTTTCATAAAGATAAGCAGTGTTTTTTTTTTTTTACTTTGCAAATTTAAAATGGCCAAATTGTGATTGTGTATTTTAAAAAAAATATTTTGAATAAAATTTCTAACAAACTTTTTTTTTTAATGGTCAGTTCAGACCCCGAAATTTTCCCCCGAATTCCTTCTAGAGGGGAATTCATTTGCATTACCTAACTACAGTATAAACAGGTGACTACTATGGAAAATGTGTTCAAAAGTTCATTTATAATTCATTTAAAATCAATTTATTACATGAAAAGTGACAAAGCCTTGGTTACTTTTAATGAGTAATGAGTCTATATCATATATTGGTTTCAAATTGTCGACTTTTGAACAATTTTCAAATACCTGTTGTATCATTCAGAATGCAATAAAAGTTCAAAAGACACCGCCACAACAACTCAACAATTCTCCATAGTACTGGGCACAAAATAATTGGAGAAATTATTCGTTTCCCCTGGTGGGTGTTAAAACAACAGCCTGAGGGCATAATGACAAAGTCCGAAATGAGACCCCAGGATGCATTTGGCTTTTTTCAGTTTCTGTGAGTGTGAAGGTCTCTGTCCGACCCCAGTGATTTCAGAGCAAGTTTGAATAACGCTCTGCACATGATCAGTGTCTGGTTATTTATTCAGGAGATCTATAGAAATACAAACTTCTCACCATCAGAAAAATCAAAAACACACTCATTATGGACTGATTTTCAAAATTGTCTCAATTTCAAACCTGTAAGAAAAAGCTGTGTATGTCACGATATGATGCTGATTGGCTGGGTGAGGGTGGTCCACTCTGCTTCACTTCTGTGTGAAAAATCAATGTGATTGTGGACCAAAAAATATGCATGTGTCAATAGTTTTGAAAGAGTTACATTTTCCAATATCCAATAACAATTTATTTACTGTGATGGGCTGAAAAAGTTTAAAAACAATCCAGGTTCTGCATCATTGTCAAAATAATTTCTAAATATTGTGGGAAGCCAGGTCACTGTATAGACTCAGGAACTCATGCGGGATTTCCACTTTACTTGATAATTTGAAGAAAAGACCACTGATAAATCTTCAACCCTGATCCTCACTCGTGTCTTTTCACCGGTTTCTTCTGGCAGGATGTCGGGGGAGATGCCGGACACTGTGCTGATCAAAGACAAACAGCTGACGGTGCTGAAAGTGGACGACGCGGTCAACACCACTTTTGTCTGCGAGGTGAAGAATCGTATCGGCCTTGGGAAGGACCAGGTCACAGTGTTCGTGAGAGGTGAGAGGACGGCGGAAACACTAGCCGCACGCACACTTACACCCTCGCACGCACGCACACATGCACACATCTCATCAAACGTTTACAGCCGCACAGCAATCACAAAATGGCTCGGAGGTCAAAATAATAGCTGTCTGAAACTGAAAAAGGAGCTGGACACAATGGCACAAAAGCACTGGACATTTGAGGTTACTGTAATGTTTATTTGTTTTTTTTTTCGGAGTACCGTTTGTGATTTAATAGGAACTAAGTCTGACTGAATGAAAAGCTAATCTCGAAATACTATTACTCATGAATGACTGCATTACATAATGATATTAGGTACATACTGTAATTGATCACTTGCGCTAAAGTAAAATTAAATCCAGAAATGGGTTTTGGAAATGAATCACTGTTGCAACACATTCACTCACCTGATACATTACATTAACAAAGCAGTTTTTTCTCCCTTCTTTATCTTTTAGGAATTATTTTGGAACATTTTTGAGTTCATTGCATCCATAGGTTTTGTACAAACGGTTAAAATCTACAGACAGCAGCCGTAAAATGCATCTTATTATGTCAAATGAATTCAAACAGAAAAAGCATGTAATCCTTGCCCAACATTAAAAGAACGCATACATAACATCAAGGCATTAAAAATAGATTAGAAAGCCCTTGTGCCGATTTCTTTTACAAATCACAAAGATGTAATTGGCTCTCTGTAAACATGTCTATCAATGTTTCTCAAGCAAAACCCACAGACAGATTATTTAACAGAAATGCACTCCTCTTGTTTAGTGGCTCTCTGCAGTGATCACACATGTCGGTACACCTCCTCCCCAGAGCCACACACATAACACGACACACATGACACATCCCAGTGGTGTCAGGGGTGGGGGTAGAACTGGGCTGGAGCTGCTCTGTCCTGGGTCAATGTGGGTGAATTCTGCTGGTTGATAACATGCTAATTCTAATAGGCAGTTGTATTAAACAGTATGAAAGTTGTATACTGAATCAGTCACCGGCTTGTCTTCATACAGAATACACTTTAGAACAGTTTTAGGGCTGTAATTATTGAAAGGGCTGTCAACTCATTTATTAATATATTGGTTTATTTTTGTACCCTTCACACATGTGTGAAGAGGTCTGATTACGCTTGAGTGTTGAAATCACTGTAGAAAGAAAGGATGTGCTTACAAGTTGTAACTTTATGAAAATGTGAGTATCACTTTGTGTGTGTTTTGATCCTGTTTATATAAGAGAAAGCCCATCACTGTCCTTTTGTGATTTAAATGACCATCAAAAACAATTGTATTGCCAATCTAAGGTAATTGCAGTTAAAAACAATACATGGCATAGACGTAGTGTATACAAGAAAACTTTAAAGAAACCGAAAACAAAATTCTGTTGATGTTCACCGTTTTTACAGAACCTCAGTAAAAACAGTTGTGTAAAGCACCTTTTAAAATAGTTTGAAGATAAATATAAATTGTTGTAATATGTTTATTTAATAATATTGAAAAAAAAAATTCAGGATATTATTTGTTTTTTTTACATATGTAGGTATAGGATGGATATATTGGATTTTAAAATGGTCAGACACATACAAACGGAAGCACATTTTTCAAAAATCAATCTTCAATCTGAGCGACAGTAGCTCAGTTGGTAGAGCATTGGCCTTAAGGCCAGAAGGTCGTGGGTTCACTTCCCACCTCTGCACCTTCTCCACCGACTCCCACTGATGACTGCTGTCGTTGTGTCCTTGGGCAAGACACTTAACCCCACTTTGCCCAAAGCCCCCACTGAAAGATCAAGGCTATGCTCACACTCAGAGAGCAGCCGTCCTCCTGTGGACTCACCACCTGCAGAGGGTCAGTGAGGGGCTGGTGCTATGAGACTTGGGTGGCATCTCTGACTGCCACCCCCCTGACCCAGAAATGGATTCAAGGGTAGAAAATGGATGGATGGATGGAATCTTCAATTAATGGAATACAAGTGCACCAATATAGCAGTAGTTTTGTTTTATTTTTTATTTAGAAATGGGTAGAGCCAGAAGGCTTATGTTATACTGAATTATATTGTATAAAGTTTATCATTTATCCTATCAATTATCATATTGCATCGTATCAAATTTTATTGAAATGAAAGTGCCATTTGAGTATGACTATATAATTCTGGCTACAGCTGCCCACGTTGTCTGTCTGTCTGCCTTTCTAGCTTTCATTTTTCCATTTTCCCATGCATGCAGTCACAAATACAGTGTTACAATATGCAGGTCCCATTTGCCTATGAGTGGCCAAGGCCTCTCCATCTGCTTTGTGCACTTGTTGCCTTTTTAGTGCGTTCACTGTCCAAGGTTTGTCGCTCATTTTGTGTATGCATTGCAACAACCTTTTCACTCTATGTTCTGTATTTTTTTTTTTTTTACTAAAATAAGTGAATGTGGTTCATTGCTTAAAGTGTGTGTGCTTAAAAAGTGCACATTTTCAGATATCCTCTGCTCACAGTCATGTCTTAGAGTGAAGCGGACGGTAAAATGAGCAGTGTTCATTAGCGAAAGATAAGATGTGGAGGCTAATAATGATACTCTAATGTGACACCGTTGACTTTGAAATGTGGTGGATCTCGGCCGCGCTGTGTAATTAGCCAGAACATGACTGATGCACTGTGCTGGAACCGCTTCTTTTCCTCCTACCATCTTTAGATTTGTGTTCGTCCTCCTTTGATTACTATGGAGCCATCACGACTCATACATGTGACCTACAGAAATAGTTTTAATGATGGTTACAGTTGAAAGGCATTCTGTAGAACTATTTTACATTGTAATTTTTGCAGTTGAAATTGTAAACTTCTGGACACATCTTATTGAAGTATGTTGAAGTGAGAATATAATACATTTTATTGGAACAAAATCTTGAACAAAAGCGTTTGCTACTTGAACTTCTACTTAAACCAATTGTAACATAGAAAAATTACAATTCTAACACACATTTTGGATGCCTTTTATGGTGCAGGTTATGACAAGGGAAAGTTATTTTTAGCTTGACCAAGTAGATACACTCAAAATATTAGCTAATCAGTTTAAAGACTGCATTCTTGCTGAGAGGCGAGAGTGCTATCCACTCAGCCACCGTGCCGTGCTCTATATAAAGTATCATACGATTTCACATCACATACATTCCAAATTCGGCTTCAAATGTCAATTATGGCTTTTGGCCATTAAAAATAATACATTCTCTAATGAAGCTTAATTGCGAAAGTGATTAATCTTGCACTCGCCTTCAGTAGTTTTACTCAAATTAACGCATGGCCGCAGAAGTTTCAAACAACCCTCTTCCCAACACCTATTTTAAGTCTTCAAAAATCATTGGTCTTTCTTCAGCCGCACAAATATTAATTAAATGAGGAGCCTCATGTATTAGTTTGTACCATCTGCTGAAGGATTTGTCCTTATGTCTTGCGGAGTGCTTTCACCAGGGAACGGCACTGAGCCAAAATTTCACTAAATTCTGTCTTCTCTTTTTGAGGAATGAAAAAGTGTCCTTGTCCTGGTTCTGCTGCATTAAGTATGACTCAATTCCATCAACAACAAAAATCATATTAAAACCACATTATTTTACAAATGACTCAATTTGCTCAATGCATACAGTTTACCATAGAATTATAATTTGATTTTAACTTAACGTGATTTTTGTAGCCGATGTGCTGTTTACATGGAGACGCTGCATCAGTAATTCGTTAGAATTGGGTATTTTTTTTAACGCAACACTAGCACAGGGGAAAACACAACATAAGTATTGTTATTGTCATTATTTTCAAATATCTACTTATCTATTCTTTTTGTACGTTGTTTCTTTATTGTTAGTTGCCGTTTGATTGTCATAGTTATTGCATCCTGGTCTATATATGTGAAAGAGTATATGTAGGTGTACATGTTTGTATATATTTCTCAGCTTTATATCTCCCACAAGCTCAAACACTTACACATGTACGCACACACACACACACACACACACACACACACACACACACACACACACACACACACACACACACACACACATACTTACCCTACCCTAACCCCACTAGTACCTTTGTTGTTTATTGTACTGTAACTATGTATTTTCCTGTATGCCTAAATAAAATATTAAAAAAAAAAAAGAATTGGGTATTGGATTGGCCTTTCGTTCACACAAAGCCGGTGTTTCGGGGGGTGAAAACTACATTAATATTTACAGTCTGGACGTAGTCACGCCTATCTCCGCCGTTGAAACTAATGTGCCATCACTTTTGCCTTCTGTCGCATGCGTTAGCAGGCATGAGGCCCATTTATTTAGCAAGTGCATTAAAAAGTCCATAGTGGCTAAACATAGACTGGTCCAAAAACAAACAATACTCCCTTCAGCATTGACTCACATCTGGAACGTAGCGTTGGGCCAAGAGCCAGCTTTCGGACCATCCTGTAAAGCTGTTTTCAAGAGGAAAGAAGGCGGCATACAAAAGCATTGGGTAATTCTCTTTCCGGGTCCACCCCCACCGGCCCGGAGTGAGATTGCAGGCATGTTGGCACATGTTCTCATGGACCTTTTTGAGCCGGGTCCGCCCACACTGGTGAAAACGTTAGTTAGGAAACTGCCTCCAAGGGGGAACATAACAGATCCTGCGCGGCAGGGGTCTGTTTCACAGCCATGTGAAGAAAAAGGTGTGAATTCTGGCTGCTATGGCCTCAGCACTTACCCGCACCTACATTTGGACATACGCAGTATCCGAGAACAAACGTAAACAACAATGGCGGCGGGTACATTACGTGTGCGTCGAGCGCTACAGGGAGAAGCAATTCTACTCCTTTGTTCGTCCAAACGTAACCATGCACATCTCTAGTTTCACGTTCCATTTTTGCAGCTACTGTTAAATGTAGAATGATGTTGGTGAAGCCACGTCTTTGCGGTGCTTGAGGAGGATGCACTGACTGCAAACTGAAAAAGAAAACTGGAATTCTTAAATGTCACTGATATTAT